GAAGACAAAATTTGACGTGTTTTCGAATCGAGAGATCAACACCGACTCTCGTTCACGTAGCCGATAAATATCTTTTCGCGCGAAAAGCTCTCTGGTGAAAAAGTTTTCCGGTTCATCATCCGTCCTCGTCCGCCACATTTTTTCGTACACGCGAACGGAGATGTAACGGGCAAAATATCTTTCCGGCACACGCATATACACACACACGGTGGTGTACCGTGAGGTGAATGACAGTTGCAGACAGTTCGTACACAAGCATGTTCCAGTGACCCTGCTCGCGGACAGCGATTCTCTCTCTCTCTCTCTCTCTCTCTCTCGCTCTCTCTCTCTCTCTCTCTCTCTCTCTCTCTCGCGAGAGCATGCACGTGCTCTCTCGCCTGTAGCCGCCTCTTGTGGCGGCTACCCTATCTACCGGGATAGCCGAAGAAAGCCGCACGCCGTTCAGAGATATTAGGATAAGTTTCATTCATACAAACTTTGGAACAAATCTCGACCTTCGGAAACTACCGGCCGCGCGCTGGCAAAATGTGCGAGCGACTCTCGAGATGGAACAAGATCGTTTAACATACATGAAACAGCAGTTGTATACAAAATTGCAATTATAATATAACAAAAATTATAAGAATTATGATAGAATTAGGAAAGAGAAGCACAACAAATGTCATTTAATTATATTCGCTGCAGACGTTACTTGAAAATAGATCAGATTTGTAAAATTAAATTCTTTTCCAATCAGTATCAAGCATGCGGTCCACAGAGGGAGGCAAAGAGGGAATATTTGTCCCCCTTGAAATTAGTAAAAAATTAAGCATTTGCTCTCCTTTTGAATAAACACTGGAATTTATTTGTATATTTAATATAAAAAAATGAAAATAAAATAACAAAAAAATTTAATTATATCTCCTCCTGGAAAAAAAGCCTGCGAACGTCTATGATATCAAGTATTTTAGCAAAGAGCAATTGTAAATTACATAAAAATGTATAATTGATATGTATACATTTGTACACGTTGCATCTCATTAAATGTATTAGACTGAGATTGTCTTATATAGGGATAACAAAAATGTTTCTCGAGAACAGCTCGCGACCTTTCCTAACTGAACTCGGGAGTTCAGGATACACAGAAGCAAGTTGGATTCGTGGGAAGGCACGAAGGGAAGACCAGAAGAAGCAAGTTCGTGGTTGGCTGAGCGGAGTGGCACGAGGAGGTAGATGTGAACAAGCACGGCGGAGGAGGAGGGGGAGGAGGAGTGGGGAATAGGTCGATACGGTAAACTATTGTCTGGCGGGTGAAGTGCTCATGAGAACCGAGCGGAAGAGACTGCTTCGGCTTCTCGCGCAGTCACCAATTTCGCACGAAATGCGAAGATGTGGCGTCACTTGACGGATAAGAAACCTGCATCTCTATCCACGTGACCTTCCGTTGTTGTCGATCGATATATACCCTCCTTATATATGATAATCATGTCGTACAAACTATATAAGAGACTGGCTAATGAGATTTTATGTGACAAGTATATCGATAAATAATTTATCAATAATTAAGATAACTTTCTGTACAAAACTGTTAAATTTGTTGCAATAACAGATTTTTTTTTGTTTTAAATAATATATTCTTATTATAATATAATCTTGTGCTTTTAAATTTTTTGTTAATTTTTATTCTTATTTTATCTTTGTATTATCTATCCTATTCATATTATTTTTTATATATTCGCCATTACATTAATTTTGTACTATAGCTATAACTTTGGTCATTCAGCTTTTCTTTGTCGTTGATTATGAAGGCATTAAAATATAGAATGTGTTTGCTTAATTTGTTCGCGAATTTGTAATTAAATGTGTCATTGCTTGCTATAATTTGCTAATTAAATATAATTGCTAAACTTTGACATTTCATCTCGCATTCTCCGTGGATTAAATTATAGAAAATAAAAATGATGAATTGTCTAAATAAATTATTATATATTATAGCTTTCTCTATCATTTGGATCGTTGAACTGTTGCTTATTAATTAATAAAAATGAGTGAAAAACAACTATTTTTCACAAACAGATTTATACGAAATATATAAAAAATATATAAAATTAAAAAATTAAAGAGAGAATCCTTGTTTTAAATATTATTTAATTAATTTGTTAATATATATTTTTTTTAATAAATGCTTAATTTTTTATACGATCTAATAGAATTTTACTTGATGGAAAATTATTCCATCATCAATGCGAAATATTTTACTCGTGTATATTCGACAGATCAAATCTGCACTACACAAGCATTTAAAAAGTCATGATTAACCACGTGATTATACTACAAGAAGGGGCACAATATATCTCAACTTCCAATCAATTCAAATTTTAAGCTATGTATAATCTACATTTATAATTTTATTTATCACATTCAAAAATATTTATCAATTTTAAATCATTTTTAAATAATTATAATATGTTACATGTATAATGTTATTATACTTTATAATAATATTAATATAATTATTAATTTTATAATAATTATGAAAGCTATTATCGAAATTTATATTTCAATGACTATTTATAATTTACTTATCATTCAAAAATATTTATCAATTATAAAATAATTTTTAAACAATATTATATAAATTGTATAATATATTTATATAATTTTATTATATTTTATAATATAAAATATATATATATAATTATTAATTTTATAATAATTATGAAAGCTATTATCGAAATATTATACTGCATCATAAAAATAATCGCGAACGAAATCAATGAATAATCGCACACGTATACACAGTCGCAATAAATGTAAAATATAAATTCACTCCGAATCGGCCACACACCGGTATTGTTGCATTTCTGCAGAGGTTGTAAGCATAATTATCGAAAATGTAAAATATCAATTTCAAAATAACCGAACAGATGATAGAGGGAAAGCTAAAATGTATAATAATTTATTTAGGTAATTCATCATTTTTATTTTTTATAATTTAATTCACTGAGAATACGAGATAAATGCTAAAGTTTAGCAATTATTATGGCGAGCAATGATATATTTAATTACACATTCGTGAACAAATTAAGCAAATACAATTCGTTGCACAAATATATGATAAATAAATTTTACTCACTAGAATCATCATCGCCTTCTCTAACTTCGACATCTTTGTCTTTTCGAATAAATAATTAACACAATACTCGCCGGATGAATATTCGCAAAACTTCCGATTTCCGATTACACTCGCGATGCATTTAAAATAAATAAATGCGGAGAACCAATCATTACTTCGCTTATTCCTTCGGAGATCCAATTGGCGATCCAATAATCCACAATCAATTAACGCGAAACGGTAATATCCGTTTACACTTATTCTTACGACACTCTCGACACATTTATGACAGCTGCGATGATGCACTTTTGCCAAACAAATCACAATAAAATAATAATAATATAATAAATAATAATTAATAAAATAATTATAAAAAAAAAAAAATTAAAAACTTTTAATAAAAAAATTTTAATAAAAATTTCTAATTTAATCGAACAAATTCACGTCGTTGTTTTATCGCGGGACGTAATCTCCTTTTTTCCGCCACCGGAAAGCTTATTATTAATAAGTAATAATTATTAATTATTTCATAAAAATTTTATGGATTATTTTATTGGACAACTCTCCAATTACTATTTTGCTCGACTGACGCGATTTCGAGAAGAAATACGTGCGAACACGACGATCTTTCGACGATGAATTGTTGCGAAGAGAGACAGAGAGAGAGCTAAGATAAGCGTGCGATGTGACTTACGATGAGCGAGCAATGAGGGGCTTTGAAAAAAAAAAAAAAAAACGAGTGCGCTGCCCGCGCGATTCCGAGAATCGAAATTTCCGAGGAAGAGATAAGAATTTGTAGGCCATTGCCGCGAGGGGAATTAGCTTTCTATCTCTCTAGAAAATTATCTTTATAGAAAACTTTTTGCGAGGATGAACGAGATTTTTATATAACGCGCATACGCTGGTATAAATATATACACATACACAGTAAAAAAATTTGTTTTCTTCTTAAAAACGGTTCCGTTATTTTTGTGTTAATATTTAACACATTCATGTGTTAATTTACATATTGCTGTTGTATTAATTGAACTTATATAAATGTTAAATTATTACAACTGAAAAAAATATGTAAAAAATAACACAATGTGTATCTATTTTTAATTTTACACGATAAATATATTCTGTTTCATTAGTGACAAGATTTATCTGTTAAATTTACAGGACAAATGTTGATTTTTTATTTTATAATATAAATGAGAATGATAAGATCTAAAATTAATACATTTTTGAGTTAATTTTACATTAAAACTATGTTAATTTTACACTGTGTTAAACATATTAACACAGTATTGTGTCTCTATATAACATATCCAAATTATGTTAAATTAACACAAAAATTCTGTGGACCGTTTGGGACATGTGATATCTGTTAGTTTCACATAAATTTTTTAATTGTGTAATAATAATAAATTATAGTGCTCTGGATTTATATATTACTAATAAATTATATTGGAATATATGTAATAATTACAGCGATAGGTTTTTTTCAATACTCATAAGATACTCGTTTGCATTGAATTGACTGTATCACGAATGTTAATAAATAATGCGCACGATTACGTCGAAGACGAGCGCGAAAGCAGCAAACGTCACTTCCGGTTCCAACAGAGAACACAGTAGGTGCAACTATGCGAATTAAATATGGCTGTCACTCAATCATATGCCAACTGTAGCGTATAAATCATTCGAGTGTGTTTTCTATTAAACGTGACATAAACGCATATAATTTTGAATATAAATTTGACATTATGTATATATCAAATATATGTATCTAACGCGCGAATATCATAATCATTTTTATCAGTGCTTTTAATTAATACGTTGCATTATTTAGACCGATATTAGAATATTCGATAAGGATTTTCACAAAATTACAACCCAAAATTTAAATAAAAATTTCACTCACCGATACGATGCATAGCAGCAAAGTTGTAACCTGTAAAATGGAAATTATTATAGTAAAGTTTAAAATAAAATTAATACGTACAATCAAAAATAAATTATTACACTATATATATTACAAAATAATGGTATAATAAAATAAATAAACAAAATAATATTTACCATATCGCTGCTCCAACATCGCCCGAAGCCTCCCCGGGCCTCCTCTTCCTCCTCTTCCTCCTCTCATAGAAACTTCGAAACACTTGCACTCGCGTTACTTTTTTTCGTTCGCGACGTGCGGCGACGCTCGGGGATTTTAATTATTACAATCTTCGACACGTTTCGGTAAAACGCGAGAACGCGGGAGCTTATTCGCGCGCGAATAAAACCGATGCTCCATTCTCGCGTCGCCGCTTTTTTCGAAGGGCCTTATCGAACGATGATGGCGACTTTCCCCGCGACGCACTTTGAAGTCGCCGATATTCCCAAATTGGCCACTACACACTTCACTTTATTCAATATTTCACTATTCCGAGAATCCGGCACTTCGCGAAACAAGGATATCGTTTTTCGAACACTATATATATACACTCGCGATCGCGTATTTTGACAATATCCGATTGATATATGTATTTCTCTCGCTCTTCGCTAGATATTTTTGACTCGAAGATTCACGACACAGTTCTAAAGAGTAACGTACGATATTAAAGTATAATAAGAGCGACATGGTGGTGCAACATGGCGGCGCGACAAGATGTCCTTTGTCGTAGAGCGAAGTATAATCGATACGATTTGACGAAAATTACGAGCTTTATCCATCGCGGAACGATACTTGGACACGATAATCCAAAACTACGACCGGAAACGCGTGATGGCCCGCTTAAAATACGATCGACAACGCCGAGAAACTCGGAGAATCACACGTCGAAAGCCCCACGACAATTTTCGCTCCGCCTGGTAGACTCGACTGGGCCCAGCTTCTCCACTTCGCTCGAGCGGGAACGCTGGGAACTGTGACGTCACGTGACGAATTTCAAGCTAGACGAGCTTCATGATTCATGGCCGACGAGATCAATTTCGATCGCGACTATATCAGCACGTACGACGCGATCGAGTAATTAACGATGTATAAATATACTCACGCGTGCTTTCGCGGATAGAACCGGCGATGAAATAAACGCACGAACGTTGATTGCGGACGATCGTGAACGCACGGGAGTCTCGGGCCAGTCTCGGGCATACAACGCCAACGCCAAGTCGCGGGAGGACGTCCGAACACCGCGCGCCTCGCCGAGTTCTATCCCCTCCGACTGTTCACGACTTGGCGCGTTGTACGTCCTGAGACTGGTACGGACTAGTTGGTACCGGTGCGGTTTTTCGCAAGTTCGCGTTTAACGTTCGTGCGTTTATAGAGCACTGTGGGTAACAAGCATTTTAGATAGTACATCGATAGCTTCCATATTATTTACCTAGGCAGAAGCGTTCGACCAATAAGGACGAAGAGATCCTCGTACGGAATAGATTTACGAACAGAGTAAGTGTAGAGTGCTGCACTCCGGCGGCGCGCTTTCGATCCAAGTACAGAATTTGATCGAGCAATCGAAAACTGAGGATCTGTGTCCTGATTGGTCGAGCGCTTTACTTTAGGTATAGGTAAATGTGTATTACGAACACTAAAAAAAATCTAGAATGCTGTCTTCTATAGTGTACTTTCGGTTGTCGTTCCCGCGTTCATCGCCGATCCAGTCCGCGAAAGTACGAGTATTAATTATAATGTGAGTATTAATTATAGTGTCTTTATGTCGTAATTATGTAAATCCGATCGCTCCGTGTAGCGATACCGTAATTTCGCGACTCGCACGCGCGAAGTCATCTCGTCGTGTCGGCCACGAATCTCTTCTTGCTTGAAGTTCGCTCGCGTCTCTAGCGTGACGTCACAGCTCCCAGCGTTCCCGCTTGAACGTAGTGGAAGTTGCTCCCAAGCGAGTCTAATAGGCGATCGCGAAAATTAGCGGGCGTTTTCGACGCGAATTTCCGGAGTTTTTTTATATTGTCGGTCGTATTCTGAGCGGGCCATCGCGCGTTTCCGCTCGTAGTTTCGGATTATCGTGTCCAAGTATCGTTCCGCGATGGACAAAGTTCGTAATTTTCGTCAAAATCGTATCGACTATGCTTCATTATACGACAAAGATCGCGTCGCCATGTTGCTCTTATTATACTTTAATTTTGTACGTTACTCTTTAAAACTTTGTCGTGAATCTTCGAGTCGAAAATATCTAGCGAAAGAGCGAGAAATACATATATCAATCGGATATTGTCAAAATACGCGATCGCGAGTGTAATATATAGTGTTCGAAAAACGATATCCTTGTTTCGCGAAGTGCCGGATTCTCGGAATAGTGAAATATTGAATAAAGTGAAGTGTTGTAGTGGCCAATTTGGGAATATCGGCGACTTCAAAGTGCGTCGCGGGGAAAAGTCGCCATCATCGTTCGATAAGGCCCTTCGATAAGGGCCTTGAAAAAGCGGCGACGCGAGAATGGAGCATCGGTTTTATTCGCGCGCGAATAAGCTCCCGCGTTCTCGCGTTTACCGAAGTGTCGAAGATTGTAATAATTAAAATCCCCGAGAGTCTCCGCACGTCGCGAACGAAAAAAAGTAACGCGAGTGCAAGTGTTTCGAAGCTTCTACGAGAGGAGGAGGAGCCCAGGGTGGCATCGGGCAACGGCGGAAGAACTACATGGTATATATTAAATAATTATTATTTTATTTTATTACACGCGGAGAGAATTTTCCCTGAAAATTATGATAATCATAGGATATATATGATATTGGAAGAATTTTATAAGAATGTCTCTGATTAATATTTACCAAATAAAACATATATTATATCACATCAATATACAATTTTACTATATGTACATATGTAAAATTATCGAATATATTTTTATGTTATAGTAGATATTATTATGGTAGATATTAATATTTTTTTTTGTGTAAATTTTTAATAAAAAAACTAATAAAATTCTTCCAAAACCATTGTCTCATAATATATAATCATAATTTTCAGGGTAAATGCAAGAGAAGAAAATTCTCTCTGTGTACTATTATTTATTTTATTATACCATTATTTTTATTTATTATTCTTTATTTAAGTTTAATCAAATAACGTAAACGTAATATCGAGAATTTCGGATATCGAGCGATTATCATACACCCACTGAAAAAATTTGTTAACTGACTAAACCTTTCAACTAAATACTATTTTGTTAATTCAACATATAAAATATTTAAATTAAATATATTAAAATTATATAATTTTATAATATATTAAATTTAAAATA